GACTGGCTTCAGCAGTAAAGAGAATGGTCCCGGATTCAGAAGCTGGTAAGATAATAATTGAAACTTTGGCCTTTGAGAATGCGAATGCAGCATGCAAAACAATAATCAGGCCATTAAAGGCAAGATCTGCACCTTTGGAAGATTGGATTAGAGACACGGTTAATGTTGAAACTCATGAGCATGATGATACATGGGTAGGAGAAGCAATTTCAAGAGGTTTGAGGAATGTTAGATGTTTTGGATGTGGAAGGCAAGGACATTTGAAAAGGGACTGTAAACAGGTCATTCCTAGAAACAATGTTTCCTCAAGGAACAATGGCAACAGAATGCCCCTTCCTTCTGGAGTATGCAGAAGGTGTGGTAAGGGAAAACACTGGACCAACGAATGTAGATCAACAAGGGACAGACAGGATAATCCTTTGCCTCAGTCTTCGGGAAACTCCCAGAGGGGCCTCATGCAGGCCCCAATAGCAAATCCAGTTCAAACCTTTCCTGCAGTCGTAGAGGAAACTCCTACTCAGAGCAATTAAATAACCAAATGCCTATTGGAATAAGTCATGCTGGTCAGGATGATGAATAGAAAATTCAGGAGAAAACATAAAGAAAATTTTTTGGCAAACTTCTATTAATGAACAAAGACCAAAATTATCGATAAAAATAAATGATGTTTTGTTGTCTGGTCTGGTAGACACAGGTGCGGATGTTACCATAATTGCACCAGAATTTTGGCATCCAACTTGGCCTCTTCAGGAGGTAAACGTTCAACTGTTAGGTATTGGGACATTATCTCAGGTGAAACAGAGTGCAAGATGGCTCGAATGTATAGGTCCAGAAGGACAGAGAGGAAAATTGAAAATGAGGCAACTGAAGAAAAGGGACAAATCATCTATCCAAGGAAACAGAGTGAAACGGCGTATGGTTTTCTGCAAAAAATCACGGCCAGGCCTAACATCAACTGAAGTCTCCAGGAAGAAGTTGGGGCCCCACAACAACAACAATTCCACGTGGACAATAATATCACTAAGCTGACAAACATCATCTACAGATCAGCTTTGAACTACAAGGTGCTCAGAGTAATTTTGAGATGACTAGCTGAGATGATCCAGTCTCAAAGACTACTTGAATAAGGACTTGAGATAAACCCTGAACTTTGGCATTATACACAGACTGGATAATGAAGGATATGGTTACCTTTCCTAGAATTTGACAATTAACCTAAAATTTTTCTTTCAGGATAAAGATAACTTCGCCCATACCCAGCAGGAAGCAATTTTAAGAATACGACGCCCACATTCCCAAAGAGGTGGTGTGGGGCAGGTGGTTTTTTGGTCTTTTTAATGGGTTTTGGGTCTGGGATAATTTTCATTGTTTAGGGGGTTGGTTACAAGTTGTTTTCAAGGGTTAGTAAAAAGGCTAAGCAAAGGAGATTAAAGGTTCTTGTTAAAAAGAAAGAAAGAAAGAAGAAGAAAAAGACAATTACTAGTTTTAAGTATTTTACATTAGATTGGATTGTTTTATATTGTATACAAGTTATATATATTGGAATTGATATTGTTAGAAAATGCTATATGTATATTTCTAATTGTACTTATACCGTTCATTTAACAATGCAATTTTCTGATCCTTGAATGTTATTATTACCAACTATTAGGATATAAAGAAATGAAAGTTAGTAGTTCGACATTACAATGGAACTTGTAGTCATATTAGATATGTTTTAAATATTGAGCAGATATATTTTAGACAGGTCATCTTCAAACCCTTCAGAGATCTACAGAATATGGCATTTGACAGAGGGATGTGGAGAAGAACGGGATGCTGAGATGAAGCCATATATACACAGCCAAGAAGAATGGACTAGAAATTATTTAGACATTTATTACTTGTATATATTGTGTATAGTTATTGTACTTTTGTATGTAGTTTTTCTTTTGTTAGTTATAACCTTTTTCTTTTTTTTCCTTTTTATTAAATTAGAAAAGGGGAAATGTGGTGGTATAAATAAAGTTGCCTGGGGTCAGAGCTATTAGAGCCATAGCAAGTGCGTGGCAGTGGTGGTGTACGCCTTTAAGGACCTGGAGGGCGGTACATACAGGCAGTGACGAGGCAGTCACATGATTGGGTTTTCAACCAATGAGAAGCCAGAACAAGGAGACTATAGAGAGACAGACACACAGGAAGTAGGGCTCTTTTTCGGAGAGCTCTCTGGGCTGAGGAGGATCCCTGAATCAGGAAGGGTGAGGCTTTTGGCTCTGACCTCTTGGCTTTCTTCTCTGAATTGGCTCTGTGTTTCTTGTCTGATAAAACCGTTGGCTACATCTACATTGAATTACATCTACACATATATGTAGCAATGTCCACTTTACCTCATAACTACAGAAATGCAAAGTAAACAGTAAAACTACTTTTCTCCCACCAAATCCATGGACAGAGACAGACAGACAGACAGACACACACACACACACACACACACACACACACACTCATACTCCCCCAAACAAAATAAACACCCTAAACTAGGTTTGATACCAAAAAGAAGTGGACTGAGAAATCTGTTTTGTATTTCTGTACATATCTTCTAACGCAAACATTCCCTTGCTAGGCTTGGTGTGGTGCTGTGTGCCTTTAATACCAGCACACTGAAGGCAGAGGTAGTTGGATCTCTTTGAGTTCAAGGTCATCTGTTCTACACCATAAATTCAAGGCTGGCCAGGGCTACAGAGAGAGACTCTGTCTCAAGGGAAAAAAAACCCAAAAAATCTTCTGCTCAGAATTCAGATGCTCAAAGTTGTTGTAGGGATTTGAAATTTGTATCTTCCTCATTCAAAAGTCAAGTAAGTCAAAGAGTGAGCATTCTAGCCCCTCTGAACCAGGGAGTGAGGTTTAGGAGGCAGTGACAATTATCTGAGGCGATGTATGACTCCTAGTCTAGAATTCGAATCCTCTCATGACCATCACTTGACTAAGAATAACTGCATCTCATGACAACAAAGGACTTCTGTACTGGATAGTTTTATGTCAACTTGATACAAATTAGCTATGTGAAAGGAGGGAATCTCAATTGAGAAAATGCCTCCATAAATTCTGGCTGTAGGGCATTTTCTTGATCAGTGATTGATGGGGGAGGGCCCAGTCAATTGTGGGTGGTGCCATCCCTGGGCTTGTGGTCCTGGGTTGATAAAAAAGCAGACTGAGTAAGCCATGGGGAGCAAGCCAGTAAGCAGCACCTCTCCATGGCCTCTGCATCAGCTCCTGCCTCCAGGTTCCTGCCCTATTTGAGTTCTTGTCCTGACTTCCTTCAGTGATGAACAGTGACGTGGAAATGTAAGCCAAATAAACACATTCCTCCCCAAGTTGCTTTGGTCATGGTGTTTCATCACAGTAATAGTAATCATAAGCAAGACAATTTCCTTCTGAGGGTTCTTGAGGTAATCAAGGGATTATACATTGATGATAACTCATTCCAACTTCCTCAAACAGATCAGAAACTATCATTGTGAAATTGTATCTTCTGAGCTATAAAGACTAATTAAAAGAGTGTTTAGGACTGACAGTGCTGCAGTTCAGTGGTAGAGTACTTGCTTAGCATATATCAGGTTCTGGGTTTGATCCCTACCATTGCCAAAACATAAACAAAAGGCATTCAAAAGCAGGGATGTGTTCCTTAGAAGTATGTTTTTCAATGTGTGCTAAAATCTGAAGTAACTGCTTGACTTAACATTTTTTGAGACAGGTCCTAATTATTCATAATTATATGTTCAAGGCCTTATTGGCCTTGAACTCACAGCAATCCATCTGTTTCTGCTTCTCATATACTGGGATCGAAGTCATGCACTACCACACACAGCTTAACTTTTTAATTAAATCAATGACTTTACTGATTCTATCAAATAAGACATGTAGCCAGGCTCAGAGGCGCATGCCTGTAATCTCTGAAAACAATAGAGTACAATCTTTCTCATGGAACCTAAGAGTACTGGTTTTTTTTTGTGTGTGTTTTTTTATTTTGTTTTGTTTTAAGATTTCTTTATTATGTACACATTGTTCTGTCTGCATGTATGCCTGCAGACCAGAAGAGGGCACCAGATCTCAATACAGATGGTTGTGAGCCATCATGTGGTTGCTGGGACTTAAACTCAGGACCTCTGGAAAAGCAGCAGCCAGTGCTCTTAACCACTAAGCCATCTCTCCAACCCGGGAGTACTGTTTTTATCCTATACATAAAACCATCATGTTCCTAATTTAATTTTCTTAGAATCATCTAACCTCCTACCCTCAGTCTAATTTATAGGCACAGGCAGTTTGCCCCCCAAGTATCTGTGATGCAAGTACTCTCTTTCATGCATAAGAATCAAAACAAGTAGCCCACCACCTTCTATGAACAATAATCAACATATCCCCTCACTGGGAGTAGAATGTCCTCCATAGGCTTATGTTTTGAAGGTAGTGGCAACTTTGGGAGGTGGGTTCTGGCTATTGGAAGGTTACTGAGGACAACAAGCCTTTGACAGTTTTAGCTCAACTCTAGTTCTGGTTCATCTCTTCCGCTTCGTGGTCAGCAAAAATGTGAAGGAGGAATCTGCAGAATACTTTTATCACTATAAAACCCATTCCTTCTCTACTGTGATGGGCACCAATCTCTTGAGACCTTGAGCCAAAAAGAAATCATTCCTCCTTTATGTTGTTACTGTCAGGTATTTTTGTCATGGAGACTTAAAAGTTGAGGCTACTTTAGAGAGTATTTATAGCATGTGAGAGGATGTGCCTAGGTTATAAACAAATATGATAGCATTTTCTAGAAAGGCCTGAAGCATGTACAGATTCTGGTATCCGAAAGGGGGATCCTGGGACAGTCTCCAGAAACTAGTGAGAGAAAACTCTAACTGTAAGTTCATAGGCATATTGAAATCTCTAACATATAGAAAAGCCACACAGGCTTGTAATTTTAACATTCTCCTCCTTGTTTGTCTTGGTGAACAAAAAAGAGGCACATATCTCACCTTTTGACCACAAGCTTCAGGGTCTTGTGGGAGCCTTTCACCAGGCAAATTGCTTCTTGTCTGAACCCTGAGAGATTCACATCATTGATACCCACGATCTCATCTCCAGCTAGTAGCTTGTCGACTGCTGCAGCTTTGCTTCCTTCTTCAATCTGTAACACAGAAGGGGGTTCCATGAACATCCATGAGCCATAGCAAGTTCCTCCAATGCAGCTGGGAATATAACATGTACAGGGTTCAAGCAGGTTACAATTTTAGGATTACCTAGGAGTAAAAGGACCCATACAATGATGCTTCTTAATCTGCATCCCTCATCCTGATTAGTCCCCCAGTACACAAGTTCACTGAAGGAGGAATGGGAAGACTCAGAAACCCATATAATCAAAAACAAAGGATCCAAAACCAGATTAATATTCTGGAATTCCTTCATCTGAACAATATTTTGGATCATTCTTACTATCTACTAATTATTTCTCATACATTAATCCTGCACCTTGTTTTAGTAACATTTTTTAGATATATTTCAAATTCCATACATCCACTTATAAAAGCCATATGTTTTTTACAGCTTTTAGTTCATTCAGAGTTGCATAGTCACCATCAATTTCAGAACATTTCCTTGGCCCCAAGAGAAACCATTGATCATTAAGCAGTATGGTTATAATAGTCCTAATCACTTTCTTTCCTTTTCTTCCAGCATGAGAGAATGAACCCAGCCCCACTGAGCTGTGTCCTCAGTACTATCCATTCATTACTCATTCATTCACTGAGAAAGGATCCCACTATGTAGTCCAGGGTAGCCTAGGATTTACTTTTATAGAGCAGGCAGGCCTTGAACTTATGATCCTTCTGCCTCAGATTGCAGAGTAGCTGGGATCTCAGGGCTACACTGCAACTATCACATACACTCTCTAGTCTACAAATTTCCCTGCTTGTGACCTTTTAATGTTTAGTTTCTGTAATTTAGCATAATACTTTCCATATGCATCTGTGTTATAGCATGTCATTACTTCATTAAATTTTATGACTAAATAATCTATGATATGAACAAAGCACATTTTGTTTATAGATTTATCAGCTGATAGTCATTTAAGTTGTTTCTATTTTTAGTGATTATGAATAATGCTTCTATAAATATTGGTATACCAGGTTTTATGTGGACATATATTCATTTCTGTTGGGTATACCTACAAGAAGAAATGATGGGTCCTATGGTAATTATATTTAATATTTTTGAGAAAATATCAGTTCTTTTTTTAAAAAAAAAATAAGATTTCACTTCTCAGAGGCAGTTCATAAAGATTCTGAATTCTCCATATGCTTGTTAATACCTATATCTTTACCACAGTCCTAATCAGATTATGTCATGCTATTCATATTAAGAAATTCATTAATCAGTGCTAAGAATATCCTGCACTAAGGGGGTATAGACTTAGTAGTAGAGCACTTGCCTGGCATGTGTAAGGCCATTGGCTCCATCCTCAGCACAGGGGGAAAAAAAGGCATACATGTACAAAGTTTGAATATCACCTTTTATAGCTCCTACCTTAAATACAACACAGATCATTGTTATTTGATCTAGTACTTATACCATTTAGTAGTAACTAAAACCTAGTTAGGCCAGCAATTAACTACAGATCCATACATATACTTATCTTCTGCACAAGTGGTTGGCTAGCAAATCGTCACTGGCCAAACAAAATCCAGCCAGGGGACTTTACTGTCCTTGTTACCTATTAATAAAACTTACCAGAACATAAATACACATTTAGATAGTGCCACGAAGGACCACTGACTTTTAGGCCCACAAAGCCAAATATATTTTCTACTTTGCTTATTACACCCTCCTCCCCAAAACTCCTGAAAAGAAACAAGAAGTTGCAAAGAACCCCAGTGTTCTTTGCACCATCAAACAAATGACTAGTGGTACTCAGTACACAATCTGTTAGTTGACTTGTTTGTTTTGAGACAAGGTCTCATTATATACCCCAGGCTGGTCTCAAATTCGGGATCTTTTGTCTCATATTTTGAGTGGTGCACACCTTTTATAACAACACTGAAGAGACTGAAACAAGTGAGTTTTAGGCCAGCCAGAGCAAGAAAATGAGACTCTGTCTCTAAATAATTAAATAAATAAACATATTTACACAGTTTACTAAACTCTCTACCAAGTCCCTAGGAGAATTGAAGTTTTATGCTAAAAAGGCAATTATCCACTGTAGGTCAGTATCATATACAAAATTAAAATAGTACTCCTAGCTTGTCCTAAAGGGGCAAGTCTATAATTTCAGGTACTCAGGAGGCTTAAGCAGTAACTTACCAGCCCTTGCTCCCAAACAAAAAACAAAAATGTGCTGGGGACAGTAAGATAGTTCAGAAGACAAATGTGCTTGCTGTCAAGCCTGATGAACAGATTTTGATCCCCAGGACCCATATGGTAAAAAGAGAGAGGCAATATAACTGACTCCTGCAAGTTATCCAGTTACTTTTACACACACACACACACACACACACACACACACACACACACACACACACACACACGAATGAATGAATGAAATAACAAATGAAATTTGAATTTTTTTAAAAAATGGGTTAGGGAAATAGTTTAATGGTGAAACATTTGTTTTCATGCATGAAGCTCAAGGTTCAAGCAAACACTCTTAGCAAAAACAGGAAGTAGTCCATCCAATAAATAATTCACTTCAAAAGTCCAAATAACTTTTTTTTTTGTTTTTTGAGACAGGATCTCACTGTATTGCTCTGACTGGCCTTGCTTTATAGACAATGCTGGCCTCAAACTCATAGAGATCCACCTGCCTCTGCCTCTCAAGTGATAGAATTAAAGATATGTGCCACCACGCCCAGCAAGTCTAGACAATTTTATCCTAATGTCATAACAAACATACTTAATTTATACCTGACTTAAGACCATACCCTCTGGCATAAATGCACAGCCAAAATGCACACGACATCTAAAAGAAACTAGGTTTTGACAAATCTCATGTGAAAGACTTAGGAGTACCCAGGTCAAAAAGCATGTGGGCAACTGGCTGTCTAATGGTAGGACCCAAGGAAAGGCATCCTACATGTGGAGTGACTAGAAACAGGGTGTATTTAAAGCCTGAATGTGAGGTTGGGGGTACCAACGGAGGCAACTTAGATATAACACAGACCATGGGGAAAGGATAGATAAGGAGGAAGAATGAACATCAAGAACAGATCCTGGACTGCTAACAGTGATGGATGAGAAGACAAGCCAAAACCCAGGAATACAAGACTGTAGCTGGGATCACTCCCCTGAAGCCAGCTGGTAGAAGAATCTCAACATCAGACCCTTCAATCTGGTAGGAATCTGGGTCCCTGGATGGTGGGCTGAGAAACAGAAACTATTTGGAGCCTTGCTACTAAATAGTTGTGCATTCTAGATGCAAACAACCCAAATGTCCATTAACAGGTGAACACATAAGTAAAATGTATACATATACAATGACATGCTATCCAGCCTTTTTTTTAAAAAAAGTGGGATTGAGATATAGCTCAGAGGCAAGGTACCTGCATGGCATGCATAAGGTCTGAGTTTCCATCCCCACTATCCTCATGCTCCCCAAATGATGTTCTATTATATATTACAATAAGAATAATTTTGACATTATACTGTATGACATATACCAGATTTTTTTAAGCATGTAACTCCATTTATATGAGGTGTCTAAGTACCTAAAACCAGAAGCAGAATGGTGGTTTCCAAGGGCAGGGAAAAGAAGGAAGAATAGAGAATTAGCACTTAATGGCTTAATGGGGCCAGAGTTTCAGTATGAGAGGATGGAAGGCTGTCAACATACAGACACTGGTGATGGTTGTAACAACAGTGTGAAATATACCTAATGGCCACTGAATCTACATTTCAACATGCTTTTACAAAGCTCAATTTTATGTTGGATACATTTTCACACAATAAAAAGTTGTGTGTTCTTCAATAAATAAAAGGAAGAAAACTATTCTGTCCTAGTGTAAAATTCAGAGGCTAAACTTTAAAATACATCCCTGACCCTAAAAAATTTTAATGCTACTAACATTAAGAAAATCTTTAGCAAAGTCATGGTGACAGGGTTATTGTGCTAGAAATTGAACCCAAGGCTTTATGCATGCAAGCCAAGTGCTCTATAAATATCTCCAGTCCCAGGTTTTCTGAAACTGGGTCTCACAAAGTATACCACACTCTTGTGCTGGTTAGTTTTATGTCAACTTGACACACTGAAAGGAGGGAATCTCAATTGAGAAAATGCCTCTATAAGACATTTTCTTAATTAGTGATTGATGTGGGAGGGCCCAGCCCACTGTGGGTGGGCCACCCCTGGGCTGATGGTCCTGGGTTCTATAAGAAAGCAGGCTGAGCAAGACATGGGGAGCAAGCTAGTAAGCAGCATCCCTTCATGGGCTCTACATCAGCTCCTGCCTCCAGTATCCTGCCCCCTTTGAGTTTCTGTCCTAACTTTCTTCAATGATGAACAGCAATGTGCGAGTATAAGCCAAATAAACCCTTTCCTCCTCAAGTTGCTTTGGTCATGGTGTTTTGTTGCAGCAACAGAAACCCTAACTAAGACAACCCCCAAGAGTTGGAATCATTAAGTATGCCACGATGCCCGGCCAAGACAGTTTTTAGAGTAGTACTTCCTCAGAATGACGTATTACCTGTGTCTGACTCAGCTATGGTGAGTGGGTTTTAAGAGTAGGTTTTCCATCCTGTTCCCATAAATGCTTATATAATAAGTTCTGGGATATTTTATCAAAGTGATCTCATCTAAGTCCTTCCACCTTCTCAAAGAAGGATGATAATACCTGCTATTTCTTGTCTACAAAGAACCCATCTGCCTTCCCCAGCTATGCCCCATCTCTATTTTCCAGGGAAAATATATTTGCATTTAGGAGATACCATGGTATTTTCCTTTTCATTGCTCCCCTGACAAGAGATATTTATGTAGGCAGGAGGAATGTAATCAGAAAACAAAAATCTGGCCACTATATTCCCAGCCTGCTGCCACTACAGCTTACAATCTGGTGCTGATCCAGCATGGTGAGAGTGCCCAGAACCTGGAGAATAGCTTCAGTACCAAGACGCAATTTGGTATGTTTCACCTCAGTGCAGAAG